GGGCACGTCCACCAGTTTCTCGGGAGTTCCCATGGGCACGGGCCCATCCCCGTTGAAGACGGGCATGGACTTCACTACCCGCTCACAGTCATTGCGGAGGAACAAGGGCGTAGGAGCGCCCTCCAGCCTCGCCACGTTGCCCCCGACCAGAGACTGGAGAACCGCAGCCAGGTCTCTGTCGGCCAAGGCCGCAGGGCTCGGACGGGGCCTCCACATTGGAAGTGAGTACTGCTGAAGCGGAGCCAGCTGGTGCTCCAGGAACTCCCTCAGCAGCGACGCGCCGGTCAGCTTCGTCGCCGCCATGTCGGTCGGCCTCAGATCCGCGTCCATCTTCTCCAACACCATCTTCGCGCGGGGATCCGCGAGCTCCGCTCGCCCCCAGTCGCTGGAGCTTGTGGGCTGCTCCGTGGGCAAGATCAGCCGAGGGTGGATGCGCTCAGCATCCACCAAGATCCACTTGCTCCTGAAGCCCTCAATCCTCTTCCCAGGGTTTGAGATGGCAATGGCGCCACCGTACGCGATGAAGCTCGCGCGCGTGGAAGCAGGACCGCGAGAGGTCCGAAGGTAGAAGTAGTGGCGCAGTAAGGCCACTGAGGGTTGCACCCCAACGTGGGCCTCGCAATAATAAGCAAAGATTGCCAGGAGAAGGACGGAGTTGGGATGGAGATGCAGAGCCTGTAGCTTGTAATGGCGGAGGACAGAGAAGAAGAACTCGGAGAAGGGAGGCACCAGGCCAGCAACAATGGCACTTACGAAGAGCGGATAGAAGGTGCTCCTTTGACCCTCAGGGTGGCGGAGCCGGCCTTGAACACCTTCGCCCCGTCGATGCCCCGTGTCGTCGCCATCCGGCGCAACCGGGCAAGGCTCGCCTCCGACACGTTCGGCGAGTCCAAGGCAGACGAGCACCAAGCTGCGGCCGGGGGCTGGCGAGGCGCCATGGCTTCCTAGGTCGCACGGTCAGAGCAGATCTGGAAATTTCGGAGGAAGGAAGGAGAGGCGCAAGAAAGGGGATCTGAGCAGCAACCGGGGAAAGCAAGAAGCAGGGCCTAGGCGGATGCCACTCCTTTATCAACTCACGCGGTTGCTAAGGCGCCCACGTCCAGTCAACCGCCACGCGGCGCCTAAGGCCGCAGGCTGTTAGGGCCCGCGGCGCTTCGCTCTTGCCCTTCCGCCTCCCAGCACGGCCAAGTTCGGGTGCGCCTTGGGCTCGGGGGCTACTGTCGGCGTACTGGGAACGAGGGTCCCCAGATTTGCCTGCCTGCGGCCTGCGGCGTGACTCAAAAGGAAGCCCAACACGGTCCATCTTCACCAACACAAACCCAAGACCCTCGCGAGGGGCCAAGCCTCGCGGGGCGGACGACGCGGAGCTTCCTTAGGCACGGCCTCGTCAGGCTGGCTCACGAGGAGGCGGAGAGATCAAGGTGGGGTACCTCACGAGGTGCCCGTGACGCAAGTCATGACGACTCAGGGCGCCAGGCGGGTGCCAGCCCGTGCAGCGTCCTCCTTTCCTCTTTGATGCAAAGGGGACAAGTGCAACCGTGAAGTACCGAGGCATCAGGCAAAGGTTGCCATTTCGATGCAACGAGACCAAGACCAGGAGGACTACGAGACGGAGGTCACCGTGGAGCTCAAGACGGCGTCATCACCAGAGCTTTGCGCAGACGAAGACCACTTTTGTCAGGATAGCTGATACTTGCTGTCCCCTTCAAATTAGCCCGTCATTGTTGGCTCCCTTCCCGCTCGATATTTGGGAAGAGGACTAGGGCCTCTATAAATAGGACCAGTCACCCACAGAGCAAAGGGGTTGGGAGGTTGGAAGGAAGAGGCTCGTTAGAGAGGGTCTCGATCAGAGAGAGAGAAAGAAAGGTGACTGAACTCCTCCCAGCAGTTCATCGCCCCAGCCAAGAACAGACCCTCGCAAGGCCGTTCTTCCTTATATTGTTCATCATCATCAGCCCACGAGGCAATCCACCACGCCACACACTGGAGTAGGGTATTACACCACAACGGTGGCCCGAACCAGTATAAACCCTGTGTCCCTTGTGTTGTTCTTTCCGTAGTTTAGATCCTAGCATGGCGGAGGGGTGCAGGTAGGTAGGAGGCGAAATCTCCACGCGCACCCCAGTGTTCGAACCTCAAGGGTCTGCCGGAATCCGAAATCCGACAGAACTGACGACCACCGTGAGCAACAATCCTGGCGATCCAAGCAGTAACAGCATGCCTTCTCGTCTCGTATCTTCTAGCGTGTGCTCTTCTCATTCTCAACTCTCAAGTATGCTGCTGTACCTGTGAGTATGTCAGTATGAGTGTATATCTCTATCTGGTCAGGTGCATTGCAGCGAGACAGCTCACAAGTAGGTGAAGGTCATGATAAAAAAATTACACACCTCTGAATCCTTGCCCCCTCAACGGCCTTGGTTTTCGCATCCCATAACCATGGGAAGAACATCAGGCTCCCAGTCTTGCTTAAGACAAATATAACAGGCTTGCCTCTGCCTTCCTGGTGGGGCCGTGAGCTGATGACCAGCTAGTTTAATGGCCGTCCATTTGGCCATGCGAGCTACAACCACATGGAATTTGTTTAAATAGCTCGGCAGAGGCGGTCACGCGAATATGAAGCCGCGATTAACTAAATGGACTAGTGGTGCACGTGGTTTTCAATCTGTGGAAAATACTGCCAAGCATGGTTTTTGTTTAGATAGTACCGTGTTCGAGTAGCCTCATACCTGCCTCTGGACTATGGGTTTAGTTAGCTAGCTTTGATTTGATCAAGATTCCCATGCTGGTTTGTACTTTTGCTGTGCATGCCATTGGTTGATTGTGGTGCTAGTACTCTATTGGTAGTGGCCTGGCCTCATGGGATTGGTTGTCCTCAGGGCAGTTTTTAATTAAGCTGAAAAGGAGGCAGGGCTACTGCCTACTAATTTATTAGTAATTTTTGCATGACCAAGCAAAAGGTTTGCATGACGAATTGTATTAGAAATGAAAAAAACTGAGTGGCATTAACAGCACTATCAATGCATTGGCTCTTAATGCGCCATTCTAAGTGGTGAAAGATTTGTAGACACAACCATCCCAATGCATTGTCTCTTAAGTGTTGTAATCTAAGTAAAATTGCATTTAGTGTTCAGAGATCATGTTTGCATCTCAATAGTGGGGTCTAGTTATGTAGAAAAGGAAAGAGAGAGAAACATTGAAGATAAGCCATACCAGAATGGAGAAAGATCGGCATGCCACTGACGAATGCCACACCCTTGAGCAGCTGGTCTGTAGCTTCATGATTGTAGTTGGATTAGCCATGCTCACATTGCCTTTAGCTGAAACAGCGACAGTGTTGTTGGCTACACACTTCTGTGCCCTGATACTTCACAAAACTGAAATAGGTTAGTGATCAAGATTATCTGAGTGGATATAGCATGATACTGTCGCCATCTGCTGAATCAGAATCTTAAGATCATTGCGTAGTATCGATTCTCATAACATGCTCAACATGGGCTGCACGTACATTAAGGGTATCCATAGCCCTATTTACAGAACACTCTAGAATTCCTGGGTATAAGATCACCCTAGCCATTAGATCAAAGTAAATGGACGATTCAGAATTGTTTGGGACCATCTTAAAACTTCTCTTACCCTTGCGTCAAGCTGCAATGACAATGTTGGTAACTGTTTAAACTTCTTTTTTCACTGAGAAAATCGTTGTCACAAGATTCAGGTGTTAGTTAGAAAGAGTATCTACGAGCTAGCTTGATTGGAGAATAGGGTAACGCCTATTAATATTTTACATACACATAGTGCGTCCATGTGTTTAGGCAAGTCCTTTTCAGTACGGCATAAGAAGAAACTTGAGGCTAAATTTCAGTCTTACAATCTGTCAGGCAAAAGACTGAATCGTAGCAATGACATGCTCACATGGTGGAAACGTGAATCTTGTGTAAAAGCAGTAAATTCATTATCTACAGTATCTTGAAGATGGAGAACAATGCCAGAATGGGAAGACTATATGGACCTACGTGTGCATTTTTAGAATTTAGTGCCTGTGTTTGCTTCCAATATACTCAAGCTGAAACAACATAATGTAGAATTATGCATGTGAAGGCAAATATTTCTAAGGTAGTACTATGCTGATCACCATAAAACAGGATGACTGCCATAATGGAGATGCTGAAAGCTACTAACATTTTCCTTTAATAGACAAACTAGGAGCCAACTACAACTATATGTAAGTGACTTAGTGACTAATCTTTGGCATGGAGATACTACTATATTGAGTGTGTTGTGCATCAATGCAAATTCACAGTTGAATAGTTGATAAGAGATATTGTATCTGTCTTCTTCCTGCATCATGGTTTTCCTTTTTGAGGTAATTGTTAATTCAGCAAACATCTTTTACAAATTACATATTCAAACAAATTTGTGTGGAGAGGCATATAAAAGAGGAGAACTACAATGTCTTATAAGGTATGTTAAAAAACTGAAGAAAATGGGGAAATCACTGTTAACTGCTTTGCTTGCAGAGATTTTCCTCCAATACAAACTGAATTTGAAATTGACATTACGAACAGATGGTTTCAAGAAGATGTTTGAAGTACTATCTGATATGGTGCTGGTGCTAGAGCCAGCACAAATCAATTCAAATTTTCACCAGTGGAGTTTCATCTGATACTTTTGTCAATGGAATAACACAAGCTGTTGCAAGAAAAGTACAAGCCTGTAACTCCATAAGCATCAGATTATGAAGAATTCTTGGTTGACATATTTGTGTGGACACACGTAGTATGTAGTATTCCATTTGCTAGTCATCTTCTTGCAGGAACACGCAACTCAGCTACCTACAGGCAAGAATAGTTGTCAGGTTGCCTTCACTTAATCCAAACAGAAACGTTCATAGGCATGTGTCAATGCAAATTCCACATTGGTACAAGCAGAAGGGTTTAACTTATATTGTTCTCCAAACAAACAAATTGTACATTCTGATGAGGCACCATGGTCTCTGCGTGTTAACATGCAGTTTTCTCTTCGCCGTTGTTCCTGTAATCACCAGTATAGTAGATAGATAGAATAAACTTTCCGCCTTTATCAGCTGACTGCAGACCTTCTGCTAGGTGGAGTTTTTTAGCCTTTGAGAGGGCTTCAAAGAATTCATGCAATAAGGCCTTGTCAGGAGCCATGCACATCTCGAGAAGCTCCTTCATCACATCCACTGCTCCTTCAAAATCCTTATTCTTGCAGAAAGTAGATATAACAATCTTATATGTGTCGTAATTTGGATGGAAGCCAGATTTTTTCATCACATTCAACAGTTGCAGTGCTCGCTCTGAATTCTGCGCCATACAGTATCCAAGAATCAACGCTGAGAAAGTTGAAGCATTCGGTTCAAGCTTGGACCTGTCAAGCTGCTGAAACAAATGCACAGCTTTTTTTATCTTCCCATCCCGGCAAAGACCAAGAATGAGCGCATTGTAAGTTATGATATCAAGCTCGACTCCATTCTTAACCATCCCTTCATGAACCCTCCACGCTGTGCCATTATCACCATGCATGACATACCCATAAATCAGAGTATTGTATGTCACTGTGTTCGGCACAACCCTCTTCGCCTTCATTTCGCTCAAGAAACGATTCGCCTGGTGCATCCTCCCCTCCTTGCACAGCACATGGAGGATCGTGTTATAGGTTGCCTCGCTGGGCGCTAGCCCCTCCAGCTCCATCCTCTTCTTCAGCTCCAGCGCATGTTCCAGACCACCATGCTCCTTACAATAAGCAGCGATCAGCGTGTTGAAGCTGACCACCGTCTTATCAACCCCCCAATCCGGCATTTCATCGAGCACCATGGCCGCGTCGGCGACCCGCCCCAGGGCACAGAACGCCCGCAACACCATGTTGACCGTGTACATGTTGGGCGATATACAGCACCGGCGCATCTCCCGGAAGAAGGACACGGCGATCTCGGGGCGCTTCAGGCGGAGCGCCGCGGAGATGAAGACGTTGCAGGACTCGACCCGCGGGAGCAGGCCATGCGCACGCATGGCGCGGAAGGTGAGCGTGGCCTGAGAGAGCTTGTTTCGGCGCGCGCAAGCAGAGAAGAGGACGTCGACGGCCGGCACTGCGGCGCCGGTGCCGCGGCTGCCGGCGGCGAGGCGAGCGGTCAAGATGAGGTGGTGGAGGAGCTCCGGGAAGGCGTGGTGCGAGACGGAGGGGAGCAGGGAGGCGAGGAGCTCGGAGGAGCGGCGCGGGGTGAGGGCGTGGAGGAGGAGGGCGAAGGGGAGCGGGGGCGGCGGCGAGGGGAGGATGGAGCCGAGGAGGTCGTGGGCCACCCGAGGCGGGGAGAGGAGGAGGTGTGAGAGGCGGAGGGGGTTGAGTTGGGGTAGGAAGCCGGAGAGGGAGGAGGGCGCGATCTCCGGCGAGGAGAGGTGGGCACGGAGGACGGTAACGAAGGCGAGGTCCTCGCCGGCAAGCGGCGGGAGAGTGAAGTGCGGCAGCGGAAGCGCGCGTGCCGGCCGCATTGGTGATGGGGTGTTAACGCCGGATCCGACGCTTCTGCGCCGTGGCAGTCGTCGCTCGCAGTCGCAGGTGAGGTGGGTGAGGAGATCTTTCACAATTTTACCCCTGTAACAGATTTCCTTTTTCTTTCTTAGATTCATACTCATGACTATTATACCTACACTGCTTTGGATTTTAAGATCAAGAAAATAATATAAAGTGAGTCATAGGTTAAGAATTACAGTGGTATCTTTTGGAAACATCTTCCCTATGGTATTAATTTTTGGAGGACGAAATATTCTCAAGACTTTAGTAAAAAAACAAAAATTAGACTGAAGCAACAGTGTTGCCACTCTTTCACCCGCACAAACTTAGTTACCAATAAAGTTTTTTAAAACCCCCCTAAGTTGCCCATCCAAGAAGATGCAAAGCATTGAGCCATGTGCATTTTTTAGCCAGTGATGATATCCTAGAAATGCGGGTCGTCGAATCATAATATCTTTACATGACGTTATGGAAAGATTTTAACTTCACAAAAAAATCAAACCAACAAAAACAACTTAAAGCAGTAACATAAATTCATTAGATCTGATTAATAAGATCATTGATGACACAAACCTCTTTAGCTTTGTGGCACCGCAAAATAAAAATAAGAATAACTTTATTCATACAAATCTAGATCACCAATAGATGCCAAAAAAACCTTAAAGATCAGAGGTCCTCCCACCTCTCGATGCCAAGATGGCAGCAGGAGGCGAGGAGACCAAAAGTATCTATGAAGACGGCGACTGTTCCTATATCAAGAATGAAGGAAATATGTCCTAGAGGCAATAATAAAGTTATTATTTATTTCCTTATATCATGATAAATGTTTATTATTCATGCTAAAATTGTATTAACCGGAAACATAATACATGTGTGAATATATAAACAAACAGAGTATCACTAGTATGCCTCTACTTGACTAGCTCGTTGATTAAAGATGGTTATGTTTCCTAACCATAGACATGAGTTGTCATTTGATTAACGGGATCACATCATTAGGAGAATGATGTGATTGACTTGACCCATTCCGTTAGCTTAGCACTTGATCGTTTAGTTTGTTGCTATTGCTTTCTTCATGACTTATACATGTTCCTATGACTATGAGATTATGCAACTCCCGTTTACCGGAGGAACACTTTGTGTGCTACCAAACGTCACAACGTAACTGGGTGATTATAAAGGTGCTCTACAGGTGTCTCCGAAGGTACTTGTTGGGTTGGCGTATTTGGAGATTAGGATTTGTCACTCCGATTGTCGGAGAGGTATCTCTGGGCCCTCTCGGTAATGCACATCACCTAAGCCTTGCAAGCATTGCAACTAATGAGTTAGTTGTGAGATGATGTATTACGGAACGAGTAAAGAGACTTGCCGGTAACGAGATTGAACTAGGTATTGAGATACCGACGATCGAATCTCGGGCAAGTAACATACCAATGACAAAGGGAACAACGTATGTTGTTATGCGGTCTGACCGATAAAGATCTTCGTAGAATATGTGGGAGCCAATATGAGCATTCAGGTTCCGCTATTGGTTATTGACCGGAGACGTGTCTCGGTCATGTCTACATAGTTCTCGAACCCGTAGGGTCCGCACGCTTAACGTTTCGATAATAGTTATATTATGAGTTTATATGTTTTGATGTACCGAAGGTTGTTCGGAGTCCCGGATTTGATCACGAACATGACGAGGAGTCTCGAAATGGTCAAGACATGAAGATTGATATATTGGAAGCCTATGTTTGGATATCGGAAGTGTTCTGGATGAAATCGGAATTTTACCGGAGTACCGGGAGGTTACCGGGACCCCCTGGGAGGTTAATAGGCCATAGTGGCCCTTAGTGGAAGAGAGGAGAGGCGGCCAGGGCAAGGGCCGCGCGCCCCTCCCTCCTAGTCTGAATAGGACAAGGAGAGGGGGGGCGGCGCCCCCCCCCCCCCTTTTCCTTCTTCTCCTCCACCTCTTTCCCCCAAGTCCTAATCCAACTAGGAAAGGGAGGGAGTCCTACTCCCGGTGGGAGTAGGACTCCTCCTGGCGCGCCTCCTCTCCTGGCCGGCCGCACCCTCCTTGCTCCTTTATATAGGGGGACAGGGGGCACCCTAGAGACACAACAATTGATCATTTGATCTTTTAGCCGTGTGTGGTGCCCCCCTCCACCATAGTCCACCTCGATAATACTGTAGCGGTGCTTAGGCGAAGCCCTGCGTCGGTAGAACATCATTATCGTCACCACGCCGTCGTGCTGACGAAACTCTCCCTCAACACTCGGCTGGATCGGAGTTCGAGGGACGTCATCGGGCTGAATGTGTGCTGAACTCGGAGGTGCCGTGCGTTCAGTACTTGATCGGTCGGATCGTGAAGACGTATGACTACATCAACCGCGTTGTGCTAACGCTTCCGCTTTCGGTCTACGAGGGTACGTGGACAACACTCTCCCCTCTCGTTGCTATACATCACCATGATCTTGTGTGTGCGTAGGATTTTTTTGAAATTACTACGTTCCCCAACAAAGAAGCCATCTTTTCGTGATAAGTGGCCTGATTGCATTCCTAACAGATTAATACTATAATACTGTAGGTACATGAGCCCCGTGGAGAAAGGCTAAAGAAAAGTCTGACTTTGAACTAATAAAGCCTGAGAATGAAAATAACAACGTAACATACTTTTACAAGCCAAACCGAATAACAATGAAACGAGTACGAAAGTTCAAAGATCAATAGCACACAACTAGATAAGAAAGACCAGATGAAAGATGTTGATGGCAATTAACCATCCGATCAGCTATGTTGGTTTTGTGGATCTCCTCACACATGATGATTGCTAGGTTATAACCAAACAACTTGTTGGAGTATTTCGTATTTTGGTCCATGTTCTCATACAAACTCCGTTTTTGATGTTCTTGGACTTGTTGGATTTGTATGGACGAGCCCGATAATATCATAATGTTGAATCTTTAATTTGGGCTTATTGAGAAATTCCGTTTTGTCGAATCTGTCAAAGGGTCTAGATGCAGTGCTTGTAACTTTTCTGGATCGGTCCCAACTTAATTCCTTTAGTGTGTTAAGTCTATGGGAGTTTCATTGCACCTACACCAACAATGAAATCAAGAAAAACTAATAAAACTTAATGGATGTGCAATGAACACAAAAAAATGTTCGGAAACCATAAATCATGCATAATGGGCATGAAAAGTGGATACATGGATCATGATATGAGGGTTTTTGAAGCAACAAACGAGCTCTAAAACTATACATAAATTTCAGTCCCAATTAAACTTATAGGTTAGCTGAACCCACGCCCTTTCGGACCAGTACCTGAAACTGGCGCCTTAGACCAACTCGGCCATCTTGACTTCTTGAAAAACAAATTTCAAAGTGGTAGATGTTGGCTGATATAATTGCATAGCTGCGACCTTCTTCACATTCCCGATTCGGTTTTTTTTCCGAGACAAAGATTGCCAATTCGTAAAGACCTGAACCCAGTCCCGGCCAACCCAAGAGCCCTATAGCCCAAATGGCAGCTCTCCTGAACCCTACGGCTCGGCGCCTCACCCTCGCTGCCTGCCGCCGCCTCTCTTCGCCGCCGGCGGTGGAGCCCCTCGTGG